CCAAAGCGACTTACAGTGCATTCAGGCTATATATTTTTTACCAGTTTGTGGTAATAATAATATGGCACCAATTTGTTGTGTATCCCTACTCTGAATATGTGAGAAGATAATTACCTGTAACTGTGAGTTGAGCTTCTGACTTGCTCTTCCCCGAGGTGAACTGCACAGTACCACACATACTACTGTCGGTTTGAGTCAATATGAGTCTGTTCGAGGTTCCTTGCCTCTCAATCCTGATTTCTGGACAGGGACATAGTATCTGCCCATTCAGGGTCCATTTCGGTGCCCTCTCTAACTTAATACTTGTTTCCACTTTAAAATGAGTCTCTTTAGGCTCCATGACCTCCACAGAACTGAGTCCTTTCAAAATGCTGATGGCCTGCTCTGTAAGAATGGATCCAATATTCACTGCATAAAAGTCTTAGCATTTCAAAAGGATATACTAACAGACTAAATTAATTTAAAGTAGACTAAGAATAATTCTGTTAAATCAATGCTTATATTAAAACTGGGTAGTAAATTGTACTTAAAATCTGATTGAATTTAACTTCTCACCCTCTACAAACAGTTGGCAGGAAGTCCTGTCATCGACAGCATCACAGATAAAGGTGTCTTCATCTGAGGATCCCACATCATCTATGATAAGTTGTCGGTACACGCCTTCACTGATAGTTTGGTACTTCCTATTTGGCACAATTTCATGATTTCTTCTGTACCATTTAACTGCAGCATTGGCACGAGAGACCTGGCACTCCAGCAAGGCACGATGTTTGTACATGGCAATCTTCACTCTCAGGGGCTTCACAATATGAACTGGAAGCTCTACAATGATCATCATTGTTAAATTTGAACAAAATTGGAAAAAAAGGATAAAATGTGATTTGCTCTTTTTTTTTTTACCTTTGACTCCTAGTGTTGCTGTTGAAGAGACCCTCTCAGCAGTGAATCTGATCTCACCAGCATCTTCTGGTTTGACTGATTTGTAGGTTAGGGAGTGTATTTTACCTGTGTTTATGGAGATTTGATTGAATTTGAAAGAGCTGAAGAAAATTAGAATCTAAAACAAAACGTGATCATATTCTGTGAAAGACTTTTTTGGTCATCCTCAAAAAGTTTCATATTGTTA